TGTAAATCTTAATTAAATTTTAGATACACTTCGATCATGGACTGGTGGAGTCACTCATAACCTAAACTTTTTTATAACAAAAAAATTCCAACATTTTATATTTCATTTAACATTTGTTGGCCACTCATTGGATATATAGTACAATTTGCAGGGTAATTCTTCAATTTAAAACACAAACTATTTCATGTTGGTCTCTTTTCAAATTAGAATAAATGGGCATCTATCTTATAGCTTCACCCTAGAACGAGGACTTCGTCAAGGAGATCCTCTCTCCCCCTATTTATTTATTTTCTGTGCGTGGGGACTCTCTGCTCTTCTCTTGAATGCTCAACAACAAAGATTTATTAAAGGTATCAAAGCCAGCATGGGAGAACCAAAAATCTCTCATATTTTTTATGCATATGATAGTATCTTGTTCATCAAAAATTCCATACAAGAGGCCCAGAAAGTGAAAGAAATTCTCCAAGAGTATGAGCAATCATCTGGCCAGAAAGTCAATTTTGAAAAGTCCAACATTTATTTCAGTACTAATACCCAAGCTGACCACAAAAGAAGAATTAGCCAAGTTTTTGGGTTGCAGAAAAAGATGAGCCGGGCACTTATATTGGTATTCCTTTGGTGGTTGGAAAAGAAAGAGTCCAAACTTTCAATTTTTTAAAGGACAAATCGGCTAAAAGAATCCGAGGTTGGACTAAGAACCTTCTATCCTTTGAAGGACGTGAAATCTTCCTAAAATAAGTGGCTCAAGCACTCCCCACCTATGTATGTCTTGTTATTTTCTTCCTAATAGCATCATTGATGATATCGCCTCTCAAATCAGATCTTTCTGGTGGTCAGGGAAACATGATAAGAGAGGATGAACTATGGTTGCTTGGGATAAGATCTGTAGATCGAAACGACTAGGTGGAATGGGCTTTCGAGATCTTAAACTGTTTAACGTGGCGCTAATTGGAAATCAAATATGGAGGTTCCTACATGACCAAGATTTCTTTCAAAGCAAATTGCTTTCCGAATTCCAACCTTACAGACGCTACAACCAGGGAAAAAGCTTTTATGCTTGGACTAGTATATACAAGGCAAAAGATGCGCTAAAAGAGGGTTTATTATGGAGAAATGGCCAAAAAGGAGAAGTAAAAATATTCCTTGATAAATGGGGGATACCTCTCCACTCAAATGGTCTTGCACTTATCAGGATAACATGGATGTGCCCTTTAGATGTGTTGATTTCAAGATCCCTAATTTTTTGAAATGGGATGTGAACAAGATTCAACTTGTCTTTACTCCTGAAGATGCCAACAAAGTCCTCTCAACTTTGATCGCTCCAACCCACGAAGACAAGTTGATCTAGAGCCACTATAATAACGGATGCTAAGCAAAATCAGGCTATAATTGGCTTCTGTTGAAAAAATGATACCCCCGCTGAACAACATAAAATTTGGTAGACTCAACAAGCTTCCAACCTTAACAAAAATTCGAATTTTTGGATAGAGAGTGCGCCATGATGCGCTACCAACCGGGGGAAAATGAAGAATGTAGGGATTTCTGAGGGAGTTTGCCTAATGTGTAGTTCTGAGACCGAAACTTTGATGCATGCTCTAAAGAATTGCACTGAATCAAAAATAGTCCTGCAAAGTTCTGGACTTGACTCGACTATCATTGATTGGCAGGAAAACTCGTGCAAAGATTGGTTGGAATGGACTACCTCAAGACTAGACATTGAAGGCCTCACAAGAATCATAATGCTATTGTGGAACTTATGGAATAGACGAAACAAATGGATCCATGAGGAGGAGATACAAGAGGACAGAGATGTCATCATGGCAGCTTGGAGCATATGTGCTGAATTCGAGAAGACTAATTACGATGATAGGCTCACTCCCCCATCAGATGCACCACAAGTGTCGCAAATGTGATCAAAATAAATGTGGATGGGGCCTATAAATTGACTGATAATTTAGCTGCAATAGGTGTGGTTACTAGAGATCACAATGGTTTAGTCGTTGGAGGTTTGTGCCGCCAGATTGACCCTCTTCGCTGCGGAATCAATTGAAGCAGAACGTTCACGAAATGGATTAGGTTAGCAATCAATAATGGGTGGTCAAATGCTATAAAAGGAGACACGATTTCCATAGTCAACAGACTGGCAAACCGGAGAGAAGATGTTTCAACCATTGCTTTGCTTCTTGAAGAAGCTCGTTCTCTTTGTTAGAGGTATAACAATCCGAGATGAAAGGAAAATAAAAATCAAATAATATTTTTTATAGATCCACAATTTGCTTCCATGGTGATTTATACAAGTTACGGAAAACGACATTCAATTCCTCGACAACATCTCGTCGTAAAATTCGTGTACATGAAACAAGAATAAAACAAAACGATTAATAACATAGAAAAATTATTCTATTTAATAATCAAAAGGAGTATAGAATCAATGATTGGAATCGAGTTGAGGCCTGCAATTACACAGTTTCCTTAAGACAGATTTTCGACAATTCCTTGGTGCTAAAGATCTTTGATCTTCTATCTCCCAGATACAATAACGAGATGATCAGCGCACAGTAGCACAACTGCCAATATCATGAACTATTTCTTATCTTCGCCTATCACCAAAAACCAGAGAAAAGAATTAATTTGAATTAGTTTTTGAGTTTTTTTTAATTGTATTTAACCTTGTAGGTTAACACGGTATTTATAGGAAGTTCACATTGTGAACAATTGGAAATTTTTGACCTAATGAAGTATTAATGAGAATCAAACAATTAAGCAATTTTCAAAATTATTATTTTGATTAAAGGAACCTTTTAATATTTATCATTTTAATTCCAAAACAGATTTTGAAAATATATTCTCTATTTAAGGAAAATATCTCACATTTGGGTTAAAGTATTTGCAAGTCCACAAAGAGTTAGACCGGTTCAAAAATTCGCATTACCTACACTATGCACATCTGCACATTTATGAACCAACAATTGGTTTCGTATTTTCCTCAACAACATTTGGATCAATTTCTCATTCAAAGTTCCAAAATTATCAAATATTTTTCAACGATCCCCCACATGAATGGAATTGATCATTTATCAAAATCATTTTGACTCGATGTGGTGATAGACTCTACGATCGATAATTGCATAAGATAAGTAGGTGTCCTCCTTTGAATCTTCCCTTGTGACAACATATTTATTTTATTAGCTGACCAGTAAACAATATGTCCTTGAACTATTATGGGGTGTTTCGTGACCACGATGGATCTTTTCTTCTGACGTTCAACAAAATTATAGGCCAATCCTAACTGAGTTTTGGGGTGTTTTCGAAGGTCTCTCCCTTTCTTGGTCAAATGGCTTTGATGTGTTCTCGTTCAAATGGACAATATTGACGCTCACACCCTTATTAAGAATGACACGTGCAACAATCTATTTTCCCTGGTTCGTGCCATTGATAAGCTTTTCCATTGTGCATGGTTTGTCGAATTCACTGTGATCAACCAAGAAGCAAATTATGTTGTTGATTTCATTGCCAAACATGACGTTCCACCTGATGGTGCTCTTGCAGTCCTCAACTCTCCACCGGATCAGCTTACCGGTATCATGGCTAGAGATTTTCTCGGCCCTCCTTATAGCCATGTAAAAAAGTAATTTTCTTACTTAGGCCTCATTATCATTCAAAAAAAAAAAAAAAAACTCTCACTTTCTCAAAAATAAAAATAAAAAAGTTTAACAAGGCCATCAACTAGTTGCGCTGATGTAGGAAGATGTTTGATTTTCTTTTTTCTTTTTTAAAGCCACTCCGTGATTGGCGTTTTTTTTACGAACTCGGAAGAGGAAGATAATAATGGGAATGGATCAACTAAATAGCCATCAACTCCGAATTTTTATAAGATATTCGATCTGAATTATTTAAAAAATTTGGATTGGATATTCGAATTTTAAAATCGAATAAACATATCAAATAATTCGGATCAAATCATAGATAAATAGATCAAATAGTTCGGATCGGATTTTTTTTTCACACCCTACGTAATAACACAGCCATCTTGTTAGGGTATGCTAGTATATATATACACATACATACGAGTAATTAAAGATTTAGTTGACACGATAAACAGCATCCGTGATTAGAAAACAGGTAGGCTAGCTGAGACCATTTTCTTTTATCATGTATTAACTCGTTTAGCAATTAGCTTACGTGTCCACAATCAGCGTCCTTTGGGTTCATTTTTAGCAACAAGGGCTCTGTGACTGTGCGCTGTTGGATTACTGCAAAGGAAATACGCACTAAATCCAAGACGAGATAAAAATAAGAGTAAATTATGTGTTTAGTACCTAAACTATCAATTTCGATCATTTTCAGTACCTAAACTTTCAATTCTTTTAAAATAATACCTAAAATTTAGTTTTTATTTCATTTTAATAATCCTATTTAAAATTTAATTTTTAAAAACAATTGAAATTTTATATATTAAAATGGACCAAAACTAATAGTTTAAGTGCTAAATGTGTAATTTACCCTAAAAATAAAAACATCTTCCTTATATACTGTGTAGAATACCTTTTATGTACATTTACATCAGCAGAAGTGAAGAAAAATAATCTTTTACTGTATTACTCTGGAAAACTACGTGATATATAGATTATGCACATATTATCTACATGGGAATCTCCATCCCAATCAACAAAACGATACCGGACTTGGTCCAGCCTAATTATTCCGGTAGGTTCCATTTGCCATCATTCATTCAATAATAATACCAAATAATCACTGTAGCTCGTATAAACTGTAGGGTTAGCAAGCAAACAACATGGTTTACACAAAGCTAACTCAAAGCCAGAGACAAAACAAAAGGGTGAACTAAGTGACAGTCACTGGTGACCTTCATCGATATTTCCCCCATGTCTTTTACTTAACCCCAATTTCCTTCTCCATTAGCCAACACCAGCAAATATCGAATCAAGCAGCGTAAAAATAACATTCCTTTCCCTTTCCCTTTACCATAATGGGATTTATTCCTCTTCTTCTGTTGTTTTAGCCTCAGTCGTCAACAGACAGCGTAGGGATCACGGAAGAAGGCTGCACAACGGCACCCGATACATCTTCTGTCTCACGCTCTCATTCACTCTCATTACATATTAACAAAATAAGGTGAAAAAAATAACATGGGTTTCTGGACACTGTTCGAGGTGGCTTGCATGCCTATTTTGCAGGTACTTATAATCAGTTTGCTGGGCGCTTTCATGGCTACGGATTACTGTAAACTTCTCCCTGAAGACACCCGCAGATACTTGAACAAGGTGATGTTTAGTTTTTAACTATTTTCATGCATAATTCTGTCTGTAATATGTTGGCGATGTTACATACTAAAATGTTGTGCAATCAAAACGCAGCTTGTGTTCGTTGTGTTTACCCCCTCGCTCATGTTCGCAAGTCTGGCCAAGACTGTCACTCTCCAAGACATCATTTCATGGTTACATACATACATACATACGTACGTATATATAGATACATGCATGTGGACTTTGATTTTGAATGTATTTGAAACCTGGACTCACAGGTGGTTTATGCCTATAAATGTTGGGATCACCTATCTAGTGGGAGGAATCATTGGATGGATTGTGGTCAAGATTCTGAGACCGAAGCCCCATCTCGAAGGTCTTATCATTGCTACTTGTTCATCCGGTAACATGGGAAATCTGCTCCTTATAGTTGTCCCTGCAGTCTGCAATGAAGATGGAAGCCCATTTGGGAACCGTAGTGTATGCAACTCAACTGGACTTTCCTATGCATCTTTCTCCTTGGCGGTAAATCAATACTGTTTATTTCAAGCTTTCCGGGCAGATTATCTTGTGATTAATTATTAAGAGCTTCCGATTAATGCAGATTGGTGGTTTCTACGTATGGACTATCAGTTACCAAATGGTAAAAACTTCGGCTATGAAACTCAGAGCAGCTGAGGGATTCGTTTCAAGGGCTGAACCCAACAACGAGTCGGATGCCACGGCGGAGAGTTTGCTTCTGAAAGGAGGAAGCGAAATTGAAGTTGAAGTTGGTGTAACGACGGTGGCAACAAAGGGCGTTGAAGATCTGGAGACACAAGCAGCAGTGGGTAACCTGCCCTTCGGCTTTTATACCTATAATTAAAGCAACTGCTGATTTCATTAACGCCTCTTGGCCTTTGAAACCAACTGTTATTGCAGAATGAGAGTAGCCCAAAGCAAAAAGGGGAGGCATCGTTGTGGGTTGAAGTGTTGGGCTTTTTTCATCAGGTTTTGAAAGAGCTTTTGTCTCCCCCCAACCTTGGTGCAGTAAGTTTATACTTGACTCCTAATTCAAATATTTAAAATATTAATATTGTATTAATCAAATGTTTTTGATCATTAGTTTGGAAATTATACGTCGATTTGGATATGTCATACAAAAGACTTGAATCTAATATGTATGTCAGATATTGGGATTCATTTTTGGAGCCACTACGCCGTTGAGAAACCTTGTAATAGGTGCAGGGGCTCCCCTACGGGTGATCCAAGACTCCACAAAACTTCTAGGGTACACTCTTATCCTCTTAATTTCTTCCTATAAGTGTAAGTAGGAAAGGCTAACTAACAAAGAAGGAAAAAAAATTGTGCACTGCAGAGATGCAACAATCCCTTGTATCACCCTGATAATAGGAGCCAACTTGGTTGACGGAATACGCTCATCGTTAATAAAACCATCGATTATCATCGGCGTGGTGTGTGTCCGATACGTTATACTCCCAGTCATTGGCATTTGGGTAGTAAAAGCTGCCGGGAATCTCGGGCTCCTATCGTCTAACCCTTTGTTCCGATACGTCTTGATGATTCAGTTTGCTCTCCCACCTGCCTCCAATATTGGTCAGTGATCACCTAAGCCCTCATTTTGCGTTTGCAGAGAATAATAATGAATAAATATATGCAGGGACCATAACTCAGCTGTTTGGTGTGGGTCAAGAGGAGTGTTCGGTCCTCTTCCTGTGGACATACCTGATTGCAACTTTTGCTCTCACTACTTGGTCAACAATCTTCATGTGGATCTTGACCTGAACTTCAACAACAAATTAATCAAAGAAAAACAATTTCATTTGCATAGTTTATATAAGGTGATGATAAATTATATATATATAGTTGCAGTATGCTGTCGACTTAATTGCAATAATTAATGAACAAATAAGAAGATAGAGAGAGATACAGATCTCTTAGGAGTGCTAGGACTAATAAGCCTGTTTCATTCTGCATTTGTATGTACTTTTAAATTAATGTAATTGTAACAGTAACAGTACTGTCATATTCATATTTTTAGTTGGATACTAGATTAACTATTTTTTCTGTTATTGTAATATGTTTTCCCCTATTCTTGTAATATTTCTTTCTGGAGTATATTTTACCTGTAATTGGTCCGCGACAACAGAGATAAAATTTCGGAAAATTGCGGACGCTTTGTTGGGCAGCTATTCCAGCACTTAGTCATCAGAGATTTGAGGATTTGTGGGAAGTCCTCGGGTATATCTAGGAATGGCAAAAAAAAAAAAACGAACTCGTTGGAGAAAACCGAAAATCGAATTAAATGGGTTTGGTTCGGAGATGATAAACGGGAACGGGAACAGGGAAGGAAAAAAACCGAATGTTTTAAATAGACCCGTAATCTCCGCCCCGATTACCCGAATACTCGGCCCGATAAATATTAAAAATAAATATTATATATATATATAATATTAATAATTTAATTTAAATTAAAAATATTATATATTAATTTAAATATATATACCCGACCCGATATCCGTTTAAATAATCATTTATGCTAAACGAAAATATCCGTCAGATAATCGGGTACAGGGATCAATCCCCGGCCCGAAAACGCCCGTTGCCATCCCTAGGTATATCAGGCCTTAGGCCACAAGCAGCAATTCCTACCGCTGCTTGCACTGGTGAACAAGCAGAAAAGGCTGCCTCGCCTGCCACCATCTCCCAAATCACCATCCCAAAACTATAGGAATTACTCATCCATGTCTCGGTAACATTCTCTGGGTCCCCAGCAATGATCTGTCCTCAAAAAAGGTTAGGGCCAGAAATTATCAGCTAATGTAGGTTGTACAAAATGGAACATGAAAAGAAAAAATTGGATAAAGTAGATATAACACATAATTGTGCGTGCAAGTAAAATATGACATGATGCATTGGAACTCTTCACGGCATTCTTTTGAAAATCGGATTGGACCGGCGGTTCAATCGAGAATCGTTACTTAGTCCAATTCAATCTACACTGGTTAAACCGTTATTAGTGAACTGGCCGAAATCGTTGAACCGTTCGAACCAGACCGACTAAAAACCGGAAAAAACCGTTTATTTTATTTTATTTTTTTTAAATTAAATCAAACGACGTCGTTTGTTAAACGAGCCAAGTCGAACTCGAGTATTGCTGAGCTCGACTCGAACTTGAAAACTTTAAAAGTAAGCTCAACTCAACTCAAACTCACAAGCTAAAAATTATCAAGTTCAACTCGAACTCAAAATACAATATTGAAACTTGAACTCGAAAAAGCTTGAACTCAAAAAAAAAATAGAAGCTCGATTGAAGCCTAAAATTCGAGCTTGATTAAAGTGAGAATAGTTCACTCAATGCTCACAAAAAAACTCCATGATTTTGAATGCCAAATTATCTCTATTTTTATAGAAGTTAGTTGGGATGCTCTTCTATGTTTCTTAGCTATGTGGGATTGTTAAAAAAAAATTAAACCAAACAATATCATTTTGTTATGATTTTTTAACCCCAAATTTATTTTTTAATTATATTTATATAATTATATTTATTATTTAATATGTTTTACCTTAAATATTATGTTGTAGTTAATTTGAATCATTTTGTTTCACTTGATTTTATGGTTTTTAACTTATATATGTTATGACTTGCATTGAATATGACTTATGATATAAAAAATTATTTTTTATTAAATATTTTTTGTATTTTTATTTAATTTTTTAAATAATTATAACGTCGTCCGGTTCTTTCGACCAGTCGGACCGGTTCGACCGGTTGAACCAGTGAACCGATAGCATGACCAGTTCGCTAACCGGTTCGGTTCTGAAAACCATGCTTCACGGCCATGTTATTTTAAGCCAAAATACAAACTGCTATATACACTAAACATATTAATTATTGAAATTAGGTATAACTTGCAGATAGAAATAGAACCAATCAATTAAAGATAAAACAATTTTTCACCAATAGAACTCTTAGTCTTCGGTATCGTGCCACATATGCCAGAAAAACAAATACCAACAATAATATATGACATCACTATAAGGTTAATGAAAATGGTAGTAATCACACAGTGTTGATGCTTTGTTAATTGAGAATAAAGTAGTGCACGAATAAAGGTAAACAAAATATTGAAGTGTGAAGCAAAAACAATCATTTAAACATCTTACGGCTAACGCATGCCCAAACAATGATGTTTTAAGTGATGACATAGATACTTTTAGCAAGATTAGATTAACAAACAGTTAATACCGACATGCATTGAACCTTAAGAACACTTATTGATGGAGTCGACTGTGCATGGTGGTTATTAGTTATGATCAGCATTAGCAAATAGGTTTTGTGCAATTGGGCGAGGGGAGGGAATGATGTTATGGCTGCATAATGACATTAATTCAAAGAACAGTAAGGTGATGCAAACCTAGGGAGCAAGCCAACGGTAACCATCGGTTTCATACTCCATTGCTTCACTAAGACCCTTGCAAGCAGTGACTATACCCATGTCCGCCAAGCATGCATTCCCATGCTTATCTAGCAGAATCCGCTGTGTTAAGGTCTTTTTATGCAACACCATGATCGTTCAGAAACTTGACTCCTGCTACATCAGTAGCAATCCTCATTATATCCTTGATCTGAAGCTTCTTGTTCTTTAGCATCAAATCATGGACTGATCCACCTTCCATCAACTTGGTAACAATGCACAAACCATTAGTTTCTTGAACACAAACACCATAGAATTGCAAAATGTTCCTATGCCCTCACAAGTCATGAGTTCTAAGAGATCTTTTAGAAGTTCAAACTCATAAGAATTCCCCTTGTCACATCCTTTGAGCTTTCGATTCCAACACGTTTACCCTTGTAGACACCTTTAAAAGTGTTGGGTGCAATCTGATCAATGAACCAAGACACAAAAATCCATTTCCCAATCTCTTCTGCCCCTGATTGGACGGTTCCATTCATCGACCAATACAACAAACGACGAGGAGGGCAGAGGCATTAGAAACTGAATCTTTGTATTTGGATTTTCAATCCCACTTCTTTGAATTTGCTCAATCGGGTTTTCCTCAATTTCCCCAAAGTCTCTCCCTTTAGTACTCGCCTCCTGACATCCACAAAGTCCAAACGGTAGCTTCACATAGGTCGTCTTGGGTTTCCTGAGAGCGGATTTGAGGGCATTCTCGATGTGGGATTTAAAAAACTTGTCTTGACTGTTTTGAACCAAGAAGAGAATAATTCCAAGGGTGAATCCTTGCTTCTCAAATACATGTATCTTCTTGCAACAAATGGAAGCAGTATCAAGAGCACCAGACATGGCAGACCATGAAAAGGAAGAATTACAAGCAAATGTGAGCTTAAACATCGAACCATGTACCTCATCATCAGATGTTTGCCGAATAAACATAGCAGGTTGATCATCCCCTGATGCCTGCTCTATCAATTTTACATGTAGAAATACTTATTTCATATCAAATTCCGCTTGTGCATAACTGTCAAGATGATACCAAAGAAAAAAAATAGAAAAAAAAATGATAAGTTGGGGGAGAAGAAATGGCTGAAAGGAAACTCTCTTTTTTTTTTTAGAATTCGGTTGATTGTTCTTGCACTTTTTTTTAGAGTAACCTAAACCTGAGTACGAACAAAGAACATGCAAGGCAAGTGAAGGGAACCTGAGAGGCAAAGAATCATAATGCTAGCGGGTATTGGAGACAAGTTTCTCAGGCAACTGGCTCCCAGGATAAAACTGAGTCAAGTTCCGTACAACGGTACCCCATACCACTTTCCGGCAAGCCTCGGCCTTTGAGGAAGCAGAAGGGACGGGAGAAACAGTAAGAGACTGGTCACGCGGGGAGGAAGTGTCGAGATTGAGAGAGTTCTTGAGAGATGCGATGGCCTCGGAGACGTTCCTGCTCAACCTCTGGAACCGTTTGTTCTTGGCGGAAGCAGCGGAGGAGGAGGAAGAGGTGTCCTCGGATCGGTCATTGGAGCGCATGAGAACCTGCTCGACCATGTCGTCATCGGTGGTGGCTCGGCTGGACCAGCACTCGAGGGATGCAGCCATGGGGCGGCGGCGGCGGCGGTGATCGTCGCGGCTTGAGGTATCCTAACGGGGATGCTAATGTAGATGGGAAATGGGTTACAGTGGAAGCTTGTGGGCAAGGCCAGGGCAGTGGTGTTTGATCTGCTCCAGATTTCTGACTCCAGCTCTGCTCTGCTCTACTCTACTCTCGTTGTCCCCCTTTCATTTTATTTATTTTTGAAATTAAGACAAATAATATTAATTTATTAGTAGTCTGCGTTGGATTTTTGACATCGGACGAAGGATGAGGTGAAACACTGAATGATGAGAACTGAGCTTGAGTTTGAGGAGGCTAATGATATTCAAGACTAATACTTCATTTTTTTTAATCCAGCAATGACTAATACTTGATTTGAAGCACCACATTCACATTCCGAAAAAGGACAGGCAACGCCCACTCCTCTTCACTTTTTTCACTTCCCACTTCACTCACATTCCATCATCTTGCTTGCTCCATCATTATCTCCATTAATCATAACTATTATTACTCTTAAAATTTTGAAAATTTGGACTTCCCAAACTATTGATTTAGTGACAATAAATTGTATCAACCTTTTTAACATATTTAAATCGCAGATCTTACTACAATTTAACCGTTGACTATTGAAATTTAGAAATGGGTTAGTGTAGATTGGTGTAATGCTGAAACGACATGGTAAAAGGTAGGCCTGTAAATGAACTGAACGTTCAGCGAACCGTTCATGAACTGTGCGGCGGGAAGTTCGTTTATGTGCGTTTATTTATTAAATGAACGAACATGAACAAGATTTTGTGTTCGTTTAATTAAATGAACGAACATGAACATAGGTCTCGTTCGTTCATTTACGTTCGTGAACGTTCGGTTATGTTCGTTTATATGCGTTTAGTTATGTTCGTTTATGTGCGTTCATTTATGTTTAACCTAATATTCTTAAATCAATTTTGGTGACCAATTTGTATGTATCTTAAAAATATTAATTAATATGATATTTTGATGATCAACTTCATAATTAACTCAATTTTACAGCCTGATTAAGCGGTAATACAAAAAACCCTAAATCTAAAAACAATATTTTCTCAACTCTTCTCCAACCCGTCATTCAGCTGTTCTTGATTCTCAACTCTCCCCACCCTCCACAATTTTCATTTCTGCAACGATTCGACGGAGCTTCAAGTCTTCAACTGCAACGATTCGACAGAGCTTTATCTCTTTCCCTTCTTGAACGTGATTTCATAAGGTAAATAATTTGAATTTTTTTGGTCTGTTAATTTTGGGGTGTGAATTTAGGGATTTTTTGTGGCATCTTGAACGATGTGGAACCCCTTGTACACCGCTATGACCGGTGCATTCGACCAGTCGGTCTTCTCCAGCCCACCCTTCGTTGCTTAGTCATCCGCGTTAGAGTTACCCTTAGGGAGTCCAAGTCAGATTTGCGCTTATATCCTCTAGTGGGGGAAGAAAGTGGTGTGGTCAGTGGAGCGCTGCTGGATATGGCTGCAATGTTGCGGAGGAATGGAAGGAGGTGAGTCGAGGTATTTGAATTGAAACGAGTCAGACTCGGGTATAAGAAAGATGAGGGACTCGCATGGTAGGAAGGTTCGGGGCTTGGGAAAGATGAAGACTGTGGACTGGGATGGTGGAAGGAGAACAATATTAAATTTAACATTTTGTCAAAAATGGCTGCTGACATATTGGCAATTCCGATCACTACTGTTGCTTCTGAATATGCTTTCAGTGCTGGTGGGAGGGTTATTGATCCGCATCGATCCTCTTTAGGAACTAAGATGGTATATATGCTTGTTTGTGGAGCTGATTGGTATCGTCAATACTATGGGTTGGAGAAAAATAAAAACAAGGTATTTTTATGTTTTAAGTTTTATTGAATTTGGTTTTACAATGACTAATATATTTTTGGTTTTTTGATTTGTTGTAGCAAAACGAAGATATCATACATGTTGAGATTCCTTGAAAATAAGGATGAATGAATTGGTATAACCTCGCTAATTTAGTATATTTTTCATCTTTTGTTATAACTCCTTTAATTTAATATAATTTTATTTGTTTGATTTTGATCAGGATGGATGATGAATTAACGACTGATTATGAATGCAAGTTGAATATGTTACGAATATTATTGAAGTTGTTTGGATTTCAAGAAGATTGTTTTGTTGAACAAATTAACTTTAAGACTTTATTATATTCATATAACTTACTTATGATTTATGTATGTTTTTGTCGTGTTCGAACAAATTAACTCTAAAGTTGTGTGAATCATTTAATATCTTTAAAAGATTGATCGAAATATCTTATATCTTTAAACATTTCATCACTGCTAATCAGTTCTTACGCTATTATCACTGTAGATTTGGTTGATTTGCATTGTCGACTATTTTGCATGAAAGAACAATAGAAGGTAGGGTCTCCAACGTTTATGTTCGTGTTCATTTATGTTCGTGTTCGTTTATGTTTGTGTTCGTTTATGTTCGTTTATTTATTAAATGAACGAACATGAACAAACTATATTCCTTAATGAACGAACATGAACAAAAAAAATTTTGTTCGTTTATGTTCGTGTTCGTTTATGTTCGCTTATTTATTAAATGAACGAACATGAACATACATCCGTTCGTGTGCGTTCGGTTCGTTTACAGGCCTAGTAAAAGGTGAAAAAAATGTGTTCTTTCTTCTGTCAATGCCATGTGACCCACATTGAGGAATCATGCGAAATCAAAGATGTATATTTGGGACGTTCATTACGGTTACTTCCCACGTGTTCCATAAAGAAAAAAAATCATGGTTGGCTTATGGTTATGCAAAAAAATAACAAATAGGGTCCACCCAGTGAGCCAATATTTTCACATAAATCAAACAATGTATCGTTTATATTCTTACAACATTTCCTCCTTACATTTATCTTTTGCTTCTAGGTAATAAGAGTCAGATGCAATTTAGGGCGGTTCGGTTGGGGATCCACAACCTCCATGTGGATCCTCACTGCTTGCAGTACACTGTAGGAAAGGTTATTATTGTCCATCCTTGTAATCTTCTGCTGCTGCTCGTCGACATGTTACTGCCCGCTTCCTTTTTCTGCTCTCGTTGTCAAGTACACCGGTTCTTCTATACAATATCTGTATAAAACAAGGTGCCAAAACATTATCATTTCTTGACTAGAAAAAAACTGAAATAGAAAGACACAAGGGAAGCGTATAGGTAATCAGACATAAAAGGAATTCAAGTTTCGTACTTGGGCACAAACACGATGAACCCGTTGGATCTTATCTTTACTATCCTGGCTCCTGTGTCAGTCGGCCTGCAGCACACTCAAAAATTCAGAACATGTGCAATTATTCATGATGGTATATGCAAAGGCTGTTTCAACTCGATGGGAGAGGCCCAAGGCATGTACCGGTTTCTGAAGTAAATGAGAGTATGGAGCTCCACTGAGGCCCTGCTTGCCATTTGGGCATTCCTATGTCGATAATTCAGATCTGAAACAGGTAAAATGCATTGTAAAGATTGTTTCCGAATCCAAGGAAGCCTGAAAAATGCTATGAAAGAACACAAGACTTGCTATCAGCAATACTAGTTAGTTGAGCTCTGTCTTGGAAAACTAGCGGAAGCTTATCGATCCCTAGGGATGCAGCAAGCAACCTGTGCACAATCACATCTGCAAAGAGTGGAATGTTACATAATCGATCGGTAGTATCATCAAAAACAAATATCAGCAAGAAATGGAAAAGCAACAAACAAACTGCTACTTACAAACCTGCATATCTCCTAATAGGATAGGTGAAATGAGTATATAGTGGCGCTGCAAGCCCATAATGATGATATTCTGGAGGGCCTAGGTCCCCACTACAGAAATAAACAGCCTAATTTGAAATCCAAAAAGTTAAAACATGCCTCACCCAAAATCATCTTGAAATTGAGAAGATTTCCTAGCTAACTTTACCTGTGTCATACACCAAGTTGCCAGTATCCGAATCAACTTATTAAAGTAAGGATCAACACGCTGCAAGACAATTTTACCGGAAGTAAGAAATCAACTATGGAAGAGAGCAGCCAAACAAATACATGAACATGAATTTTTTTAAAAATAAACGGATAAAATAAAAACCAAAATCCAGATAAGCTACAAGTCGGACAAAGAAATGCCTAGAAAAAGAATCATCTGATGTGAATATATATGTTGAATCATGTTTTATAATATTTTAATATAAAAAATTAAGGTAAAATGTTATTGGACTTGAATTGAATTAGTTCAAAAGTTTTCAAAAATAATTTCAAGTCCATTAAAATAGTATTTGAGCACAAAACTGATTTTCTGGGTACGTAGTACCAATACTGTTCTTACAGTACTGATATTGTTCACGTGGTATTGATACCAAAGGTAAGAGAAGTATCGATACTCTCTAGGTAGTATCGATACTACCAGATGTTTTTCAACTAACTCAAATTCCAGAATGCAAAATAGGTATCGATATTCCAAGGGGTACCAATACTATTTTACACTGTAGTATCGATATTGGTCAGGCCCAACGGCTAATAATGGTTAGTTTATTTAAATATAACAAAGGAAGTATCGATACTCTTTAAAGGAGTATCAATACTCCCTATACTAGGCAAATTTATTTTGCACGAAATTTCATTCCCAATGGCTAGAAACAATCACAAACACATTCCAACATATAAATACAAGTTCAAGACACTTGAAGAAGGGTTAGAACACATATCCAATTAATCACACACAAGAGAAGAGCTCTTAATTCTTACTTTCCTTTTTCTTGTAAATAGTTGTGTTTGTGTGAGCTTTAATTTTGCAAACATCTATCTTTTAAAGGTTTTTTTGTTTACTTTCTTTCCTTTTGTAGAGGGGGTTTTGGTTCTAACTAAGCCTTTGAAAAGCCAGGGAGTTTTAAATGTTATCTCTTTATCCTTGAAAAATAAAGAACAAATTAGTGAATTTGTTGGAAAATCCTTGATGATGAGCTAAGATAGTGATGTAGACTTGGTTGATAAGTCGAACCACTATAAATCGATGTGCAAATTTTCCTATCATTTTAATCTCTTTACTCCCTAAATTCAACAACCAACTCAACCCCTCTTGAAAAACATTTTCGGTTGCCAATTGAGCTTTATAAATCCTAACAATTGGTATCAGAGCTTGACTCATTAGAAGGTCTAACAACCTTGAGACGATCATTGAAGAAGCTCTATCAATTCTCGACGCAACCGAGTAGATGACTTCCACCTCTGACAAGCTCCACATGGAAAACTCCCAACTGATCGATAGGCCTCAATAACAAATTTGCCTATCCTTTTAATCTCTTTACTCCCTAAATTCAACAACCAACTCAACCCCTCTTGGCAAACATTTTCGGTTGTCAATTGAGCTTCATAAATTCCAACAATTGGTATCAGAGCTTAACTCATTAAAATGTCTAACAACCTTGAGACGATCCTTGAAAAAGCTCTATCAATTATCTACGCAACCGAGTAGATGACTTCCACCTCCGACTAGTTACACATGAAAAACTCCCAACTGATCGATAGGCCTCAATACTTCAATGGAGCTAACCACCGTCATTGGAAGAAATTAATAAAGCTATTCATCCAATCCATTGATCTTGATACATGGGAGATGATCGAGAACGGCTACTCTTCTCCAAAGAAGACGGAGTGGAGTGCCCAAGAACGGAAGAAATCTCAACAAAATGCTAAAGTCATGCACATGTTGTTCTGTGCATTTGGTCCCAATGTCCATGAAGGAGTTTTTTTTTCTTGTTCAAATGCCAATGAGCTTTGTAATAAACTCGAAGAGATCTATGGAAACAAAAAAGAAGAACCAACAAAGGTGGTGTGCTTAATGGCACTTGAAGAGCCCGATGTATCTTCTAACTCTAGTGAATGTAATTCATATTCTTTTAATGAGTTACAAGATGCGTACGATGAATTATTTTTAGAGTTTGAGACCATGAACTCCAAATATAAGAAAATAATTCTAAAATTTAAAGTTGAAAACGATTTTCTTTTGAAAGAAAAATTAAAATTTGAAAAATAAAATGAAATTTTGAAAATGATTTAAAGCTTTCAAAAGTAAAAAACTGAATTTTTTTTAAAAAAGACTGCTATGATTTAAAAGTTAAGTTTCAATGCTTAACAAAAGAAAAAGAAATCATTTTAAATAATTCATCTAGTTTCATAATGGAAAAATACTCACATTGTCATTATCATGGTCATATGGAACATGCTTGTCCTTTAAAGAAAGAAAAAACATTTTAAAATTAGACAAATATGGCCTCCAAAGGGAACAAGGGGCATTAAAACTAACGTTCAAGGATCCAAAGCAATTTGGATACCAAAATCCACATAAATGTCTATTGTATGTGTATGAGAGCAATGGTGATGAAAGTGAAGATATTCAAATACTCAAGCCACAATTGAAAAGGAATGAGTAACCACTAAGATTATTTTGATTATCTTGCATAATTGGTTGCTCATTTGGTTTAGGCATGCATGAGTTTTGATTTTAAATAATTTTATATTTTCTATCTCATGTATGTTAAAAGGAATTGATTTAAATGTTTATGCATGTAATTTGTTGCAAATGATATCTATCTAACAATTGTATCAATTTTTCAAATGCATAACATTTTTGGATAGCTTTATGCACATGCACTTAAATACAACAATTATTGTTGCATAAAGTATCTTAGACTTGGATATATTGAATTTCATGTGCTACTAACATGTTTGTCTATTTTTGTTGAAATCCAATGTCTTTTAAGTATCAAGATTTTAAAGTCAAATTCTTGTTTGGAATGCTTTTATTGAGGGGAGCTTTGATTTTCCAAATTATTTTAACGCTAAATTTTTTACTTGTTCTCCATTGTTGTTTTGAACCTTTAAAGTTAAATTATTTTTTATATAACAAAAAAAGGAGAAATATAGGTTTGAAAAAGTCAATTTCAAGAATGAAAAATGGGAAACTTTAATATTTTCCAAATATTGCTTTTTTTCATTAAATATTTTAGTAAGGGAGAGTTTTGGCAAAAACAATTTTTTTTTTCAAATGTTTTGTTATATCAAAAAGGAGAAGATTATTGAATCAAGTTTTATAATATTTTGATATAACAAATTAAGGCAAAATATTTTTGGATTTGAATTGAATTTGTTCAAAGTTTTCAAAAAATTTCAAAAATAATTCAAAGTCCATTAAAATAGAATTTGAGCACAAAACTGATTTTCTGGGTACGTAGTACCATACTGGTCTTACAGTATCGAGACTACATTAACAATATCGATATTGTTCACGTGGTATCGATATCAAAGGTAAGAGAAGTATTGATACTCTCTAGGTAGTATTGATACTACTAGGTGTTTTTCAAATAGCTCAAATTCTAAAAATGCAAAATAAGTATCGATACTCCAAGGGGTACCAATACTACTTTACATTATAGTATCGATACCATGAGCATAGTATCGATATTGGTCAGACCCAACGACTAGTAACGGCTAATTTATTTAAATATAACAAAGGAAGTACCGATACTCCTTGTACTAGGCAGCTTTATTTTGCATGAAATTTCATCCCAACGGCTAAAAATGACCACAAATACATTTCAACATATAAATACAAGTTCAAGACACTTGAAGAAGGGTTAAAACACCTATCCAAGCAATCAAACATAAGAGAAGAGCTCTTAATTCTTTCTTTCCTTTCTCTTGTAAATAGTTGTGTTTGTGTGAGCTTTAATTTTATAAACGCCTACCTTTTAGAGGTTTCTTTGTTTACTTTATTTTTCTTATGTAAAGGGGTTTTGGTTCTAGTTAAGCCTTTGAAAAACTAGGGAGTTTGCAAATGTTATCTCTTTATCCTTGAAAAATAAAAAACAAATTAGTGATTTGTTGGAAAATTTTTAGTGAGGAGCTAAGGTAATGGATGTAGACTTTGTTGAGAAGTCGAATCATTATAAATCGTTGTACAAATTTTTCTATCTTTTTAATCTCCTTACTCCCTAAATTCAACAACCAACTCAACCCCTTTTGGCAAGTACTTTTGGTTGTCAATTGAGCTTCATAAATCCCAACAATATCATTAAAATGAACCTTACCACAACATGGTCATAGGAGTCAATCAATGCCTTTGACGATGAAATATCCAAGTCGAGTCCGACAGCAGCAACAGTGCACAACAAAGGTTCAAGCATCTCCCTTGCAGGAGTTGGATGACACCTGAACCAAAACCCAGTGAAGCAAGATAAGACATCAAACAACAATAATGGCATTATCAAACGACAGTAGGTAAAACTTTTCCAAAAAATGAGGGATCATCAAAGGGTCAAGGAAGAGCATATACAACTAAAAAATTAGTTGGGGACTCTCAAGAACAGCTTGTTGAGTTCAACAAAGAGAAAATAGAGAAACTGAGAAATTTGTTGGGCTCCCTGAACAAAACCTCCTCTGCAGGTACATGTAGTCTGGTCTTCTCAAGTATATCCTTATATTCTCAGCACTCTAAGGCCTCAAATTTGCCCATCTAAAGCTCATGGGTAATTGACTCAGGGGCTACAAACCACATGACCAATTCCTCATTCAGATTTACAACCTATACACCCTATCCTAACAACAAAAAAATAACTGTGGTAGATGGCACTATGATAACAATGGCTAGTCAAGGGGATATTGTTATAAGTGAAACCATTACTTTAAAAAATGTCCTTCATGTGCCAAAGCTATTTACTAACCTCTTATCCATTCAAAAAATCATCAAAGACACTGACTGCAGTGTTCTTTTTCATTCTACTCAATGTATTTTTCAAGAATAAGGAACGAAGAAGATGATTGGACGTGCTAGAGAAGAAAATGGTTTATATTACCTTGAAGACCATTTTGTACAAGTTAGTGCCCTAAACTCCCCATATTTTTCGCTTTTATCAGAATCCAAAACCAATAAACATGATACATGGCTTCACCAACTCTGTCTTGGTCACCCATCCTTTATAACTTTAAAGCTTATGTTTCCTTCTTTGTTCAAATCCTTAAATAGTGAAGAATTCTATTTTGATATATGTGAACTTGCTAAGCATAATCGCTCTTCTTTCCCAGTTAGTAATAAAAGAACTTCAAACCCCTTTACCTTTATACACAATGATGTTTGGGGGCCATCCACGATTCCTAAGATAACTGGGGCCCGGTGGTTTGTCTCATTCATATATGATTGTACCCGAGTGACATGGTTATTTCTTCTAAAACAGAAATCAGATGTGATTTCCACTTTTAAAACCTTTTATAATATGATTAAAACTCAGTTTGGGGCAAAAATAAAGAGGTTTATATCAGACAATGCTAATGACTATTTCAACAAAGTCTTATCTCCCTATTTTCAATAAAAAGGCATTATTCACAAGTCCTCATGTGTAAATACCCCTAACAGAACGGAGTAGCAGAAAAAAAAATAACCATCTTCTTACTATTACAAGAACCCTTTTGTTTCAAAAAAATGTACCTAAACAGTATGGGGGAGAACCTGTGTTGACTATCACCTATATGATAAACAGACTACTCACTAAAGTCCTTGAATCCAAAAGTCTTATCCAAATCCTAAACAATTTCTTTCCAAACTTTAGCCCCTCACTTAACCTTAAACTTAAAATATTTGGTTGTGTTGAATTTGTTCATATACACTCTCAAAATAGGGGGAAGCTTGATCCAAGGGCATTAAAGTTTGTTTTTATTGGTTGCTCTTCCACTCAAAAGGGGTACAAGTGCTATTATCCACCTACAATGAGACATTTTATTTTGTCTGATGTCAATTTTTCAGAAAAGGAAAATTATTTTACTCGTCCCTATCTTCATGGGGAGATTTCATTCAGGGAAGATAAGGACAATGATTATTTCCTTCTTTAACTTCTCATTGACTTTCCTGAGCAGCAGCATACTCCTTCTATTTCTTCCCAATAGCCAATCCAACAACCTTTTGTTTCTTCCCAACATCCAGTCCAAGAGCCTTCTATTTTTGACCAACCTGACCCTATTACTCCTCAGTCAAAAATTTAACACTACTCGTCTTTAGCTAGTTTACTCAAGAAGAAAGGCACCAGTGCAGGCTCAATCATCCTCTTCCTCTCCTATACAAATCGAGGTAACTGTTGAACTTATCTTTGATTCAAATAACACTGAAATTTTTTATCATACCTCTGATCATAGGGATTTTGATTTTCCTGTTTCAATTAGAAAATGAAAAATGACTTGCACCATAAAAAATCCTTGTTACCTATTTTTGTCTTACAGAAATTTGTCTCACAATAACCAAGCCTTTCTTACAAGCCTAAACACCATCACTATTCCTAAAACCATGCCCGAGGCATTAGAAAATGAGAATTGGAAGAATGTCATGCAGGTTGAGATGGAAGCATTAGAGGAGAACATTTGTCTCACATAACCAAGCCTTTCTTACAAGCCTAAACACCATCACATTCCTAAAACCATGCCCGAGGCATTAGAAAATGAGAATTGGAAGAATGTCATGCAGGTTGAGATGGAAGCATTAGAGGAGAACAAGACATGGAATTTGGTGAAACTGCCATAAGGGAAGAAAACAATAGGATGCAAGTGGATGTTTACAGTAAAATACAAGTCAGATGGATCGTTAGAGAGGTACAAGGAAAGGTTGATGGCTAAAAGGTATTCTCAAACCTATGGAATAAATTTTCTCATTCAGCACCACCGATAGCAGTAGGCATTGTCGATGGCAGGATTCTCGGGCAAGTCGATCTTACAACATCAATTAACAATAATAGCAACAATGAAAATGTTAATATTTGGGAACACAAAGAAATAATCAGTACAATTATATTGAAGCCAAAAGGAACAAGGAAGAAACCTGTTGAAGGATGACATTGGTATCAAGAACAAGAAGGGGAGAAGCAGCATCCAAAGGAGCACGTGAAGTGCAAGTGTCGCATGTTTTGCAAGCAGCAGCTCCACAGTAAATGTCATCTCTCAAATATATTCTCTAACTTCCTGACCCACGCCAATGCAACAAACAAATCAAATACAACCAATCATCGTTATAAACTAAAACTAAATGCATTTGTTACTTAGATAAGGTTTCATTTTTTTTCCATTTTATATGTAATAAATATGAATAAATTGAAGATGAGGAGAGGTATGCAGCAACCTTCTTAATTTTGCCGCACTTTGTCTTCCTGCTGAACGTATTGCTCTCCAACATATTTTCTCTCCATTACTGACGTTTTCTGCCTCCAAATGCTTAGCTCTCCTCTCCTTTACACTTGAAGTTGGAGTGCAGAAGCTGCAAAGAATCAAATTACCAACTAAACAAAGATAATAGATTGTTGAATTAAAGTAAATGATTCAAGAACGTCTCCTTCTTCAATTCCTCCTTTTTAAAACCTAATAACCCAGCCCAATAACAAGTGTGTAAATCTCATGTTATATAGAAAAGATCAAATTTTACATTTAGTCCCTATACTATGCTGAAAGTTGGGGAACGGACAATAATATGAATATATTAAAAGAGAGAAATTAAATGTTATAGTTTAGTACACGGAGGGGCTAAAACTATAGTTAAACCAAAATAAAATAACCTTTTATTTACTGTTTACAATTTACTGCAATATTTATATTTTCCGTCGGCCCATTGAGAAAGTGAAGAAATCAGTAGGTAAGCGAAATCAGAGAGCCATGTCGACCCTGAAAGAGATCCTAACGCGGCGTCCAGTGGCGGCGACAATCAGGCTGACGGTTCCTGCGGGAGGAGCACGACCCGCACCTCCTGTAGGACCGGCTCTCGGACAGTACCGTCTCAATCTAATGGCCTTCTGCAAGGACTTCAACGCCCGAACCCAAAAGTACAAGCCCGACACCCCTATGGCAGTCACCATTACCGCCTTCAAAGATAACACTTTTGAGTTCACTGTTAAGTCTCCGTCCGTCACGTGGTACCTGAAGAAGGCGGCGGGTATCGAGTCCGGAAGCAGCCGGCCAGGCCACGTGATCGCCACCACGTTGTCCGTCAGGCATATTTATGAGATTGCCAAGATTAAGCAATCCGATCCCTATTGCCAATACATGTCCCTGGAGAGTATTTGTAAGTCCATTATTGGGACTGCTAATACTATGGGGATTAAGGTGGTCAAGGAATTGGATTAGATTCTTCATTTCCTTTTCAATTTAAAATTTTGTGGTGGCGTTTTGTTACTGCGTTGGATTTTGGTGCATCTAAACTGTTCGACATATTGTCCGTGTGGGAAAACCTTAGCATGTCTGTTTGAATGATTTCTGCAACTTTCGAACATTATTTCAATTCACTGCATCATTTCTGAATTGATGTTCTCATTTTTCCCGGATTGAGCCTGAAAAGAAGTATAAATCAAAACTTCATGTTAACCGGATTGTTGTTTCTACTTAAATCTCTGATGTATATGCCTTTGGTTTGAAGTTTCATACGTCAAAGTGTTAATCGAAAATGATTACACGTAAACTTCTTGAATGTTTTATATTCTGAACCAATCAAAGTTCATACATCAAAGTTCCAATAAAAAAAAGTGCCTTACAAAACCTGCCGGTGGACCTGAAAGCTCCAAAACTTAACCCACTCTCCGTCCTCCTGCCCTGCTTTGATCAACAAGCTTTGTGCTTTTTGCCTTTTCAACATTGTCAAGGAAACTGCTCGACAAAATACCTACCTCATTATGTGTGCCCCCGGTTGAAGATGTTCTTGTCAGCCTTCGACGCCGATTGCAGAGTGGTTCTAGATTTGGCTTCTGAATTTGGAACTCTCCTTGCGAAGCTTTTCAATTCAATTCTAGATTGGTATTTCAAACTCTTACCAAGATTTCTTAATTCGTTGATTTTGCCTACGGAGTGTTGCTGATTTGTTGAACCATATGGCTGTGTTTTTTCATTTACTAAAAACTAAAAAACAATCAAAAGAAAGAAAATGACAATGGTATCAAGATGCAGAAAAGGTAAAAGAAAAACATGACTTTAGCACAAACACTCCTTTATCAAGACGCTGTATATACTAATAAAAGAATCAAAGCCGCCACACAAGAGACCAAAATCTCGACTTACAAGGCATGAAAACGTGAAACACCCCCCAGCCGTTCATTCAACTGCATTTATAATATTTGTATTTATACCTAAAAAGCACTCCATTTATCGGAATCTCTCCTCGGATTCTGACTGTCCAGTGATGTCCTAAATGGCCCCGTTGACCCAAATGGATCATTGTCATCAAACGATGAGAACTCACGACTATGATCAAACCCCGTAGTGCTTCCCATGGAATCAAACCTTGACAGCGATTTGTCAGGTTGATCATGTGCATTAAATGAATCAAACCCCGATGGGGGGAAGTCATAACCCTGATCAAAGTCTGTTGAGTTGCGCATGGAATCAAACCTGTCAAAGGAGCGGGGTTGAAACAATCCACTGTCTTGCATGTTGAATGAATCAGACCTAGAGAAGCTGTCAAACGAGTAAGCATCTGATCCTTCACCAAAACTCTGTTGGGAATGATGATAAGCAGGGGTGCTCGGAACAGAGTCCGCAAAAAGAGACGACCTCTGCCCCTTGAACATGTTATCTGAATAGGCAGGAGTGCTTGGAACAGAATCTGCAAATATGGATGAAGTCTTCCCCTTGAACAAGTTATCTGCATAGGCAGGAGTGCTTGGAACAGAATCTGCAAACAAGGATGAACTATGACCCTTGAACATGTTATCCGCATAGGCAGGAGTGCTTGGAACAGAATCTGCAAACAAGGATGAACTCTGACCCTTGAACAAGTTGTCCGCATAGGCAGGAGTGCTTGGAACAGAATCTGCAAAAACAGATGAGCCCTTCCCCTTGAACATATCACCTGCATAAGCAGGGGTGCTTGGAACAGAGTCTGCAAAAATAGATAAGCTCTTCCCGTTGACCATATCACCTGCATTTGCAGGGGTGCTCGGAACAGAATCAAAAACAATTGGACCTTTCCCCGGGAACAGGTTTTCAGTGTGCGAGGACTGTGTTTTTATGGGCTTTATATTGAAGTCACCAAGACCAAACATAGAGTCATCAGTCTCCTGCAAGAAGAGTTTTCTTTAGACCAATTTGTGATTCTCAATACAATTCCGAAAAATCTTTTCAAGACACAAATAACATCCATTGTGGCATATATTGAAATCAAGACAACCAAAAAAAGCTTACACATTCAAAGAAAGAGAAACAATATAAGGCTTCCTTCGATAAACTAAGTTGACACTAAAAGGTCCTGAGATATAAAACTAGAAAATTGTAGCCACTACTCAACCTTGGCCAAGAGACCAAATAATAAATTTTCATCATAACGGAAACATAATTCTTTTTCGTTGACAGTAGAACTGAAACAAATAAGTGACTAAGAAAACCCAAGCCGGATGGAGAAGATAGGTTTCATTCTCTTGAAACAAATAAGTGACTAAGAAAACAACCTGCAATTTAATCTGAATGGGTGCTGCAAGACAAAAAATTCACTAACCTTGCCTCGTTCCTTTTCAAAGCCCCAAACTGGGTTGAACTGAGAATCAAATTTTCCCCAGCTAGGTTCATCAAAACTCTTATCCTCAGAAAATAAAGATTCAGCACCACTCTGATCTCTGTACAAGTATATATCCAATTGGTTAAGAAACCATAAGTCTAAAACATCAAAGACTTGAAAGGAAGAAAAATGAAAGAGAAAACAAATCCCTACTGTACAACCATGTGCAGGTTCACTGCTTGCAGAAAATACATGCAAGAGGATAGTAGCCGGAGAACTACATAATACTGCAAACGAAACAACACACCTTCTAGATTCTTTAGCGAGATCTGCGCTATCAGTATCATCGGTTTTCTTGGCGTGGGGGGATCCATAAGGATCACTCGTCTTCTGAGAATGAGGAGAACCATCAGCACCACTACTTGTCACACGGGAATCCTGGAATTCTTGAGATTGCTTATCTGTTGTAACAGCTGGTTTTTTGGCCAGGCCATCCTCACTTTGGTCAAGTGCTAAGTCTTTCTCAGGGATCCTTTCACTTGTATCCGGAATCTTATCTGAGTTAGCATCAGCAACAGTTGCAGAAGATGTTTCTTTTTGAACTAATGAAGATTTTGGTTTTGGAGGGGCTATGACATTTTGCACATCAAGTGTGAGCTCCTTTACAAATGTGAATCCTACAAGGAGAATCAAGTCATGATTCATCAGAATAAGATACAAATTACACTATTCAGAAGAACGCGCCATATCAAATTCTATACATTATGTTAAGGGCATGCCAAATATTATTAAATAAGGGTCACCAAATAACAGATAGGACATCAAAACATGTCCTACAAGCACATACCTTCATCTTCAAACTTATCCCAATCTTCATCCCAATCAGCTGCACCTTCTTGGATTCCAGTTTGCCAGCCTAGGAAAAGTTGACAATAAAGTGAAAAAATTTAGGTATAGGCTTATATAAAAACACATAAGATTAGCTGGACGATGGAATCTTCAAAAAAAAATTAGTCAGATTAAGAAAGCAAATCCAATTAAAGCTCTCTAGATTTCTTAAATTTACTATATTGAAAAAAGAAAAAAATGAGGGGAAACCTTACAACCACATACAGCTCAATGCAGGTTAAAAAGCAAATAAAAAAAGCACATGATTATATTAGTATCACATGATAACTTATTGAGGACAAGAATAGTAGCATAAACAGAACAAAGCAAAACTAAACCAACGATCCCAAACATATTTGGAATCAGCTAAAAGAACCAAGACAGGAATATTTGCCTCAAGTACACAAGTCCTCCTCCCACAATATTCTTATAAACCACCACCATCTCTTCAAGGTCTATTTAAATAATAATTTATCACCTCCAAAATATGTGGACATATCCTAAGATTTGCATCCCTAGCATTCAAACTTTCACTTTTTTTTTATATTTTGGTCTCCAGCCCAACCTTTTACCCTGTGAAACAATTTTCTCTATCCTAAAATATGCATCCTTCAATTTGAGTCCTATGTGGCCATACCTTATCGTCTATAGGATTAGTTCTAACTTGAAGATGGAATATCCACATTTCTAAGTTTGTCCTTTTACTAAATGTACACTCTATATATTGTGCCTTTGATTAGCTCAATCTTAACCCCCGTGCTTCTAGTGTTTGTCTCCAAAGCATAGGGAAAAACCCATAGATCATAAAATAATTATAATATAGAAAGTGGAAATAATACCAAAAGGAAGCTCAACCAGTGAAGTCGGCTTAGCACGTAATCCATATTGTTTGCAACGTTCATTAAGAGATTTCACTAATTCCTCCAGACTTGATTGTATTTGATTAGCACGCTCCTGCACAAGCCAACAAAAAACTACACTCTTACAAGTTTCCATACCAATGACTAAAATTTAATTATTTACAGATAGATAATACCTGGAGAGTGCCATACTTATTGTCTCCTTGTTCTATTTTAACAATTGCCTGGTACAATTCCATTTTTTTCTCCTGCAAGTTATTCAAGTCAATCTGACAGAAATTTCTAATGAAAGCACAAGAAATTTTCAGCAAAAGGAAATTCAAGCATGGCCATCAAGCCAACCAACCATTAGCTATCATTCAAAACATAGAAAATTCCTAAATACCTGAATATCACGAAATGTGGATTCCTCAATGGTTAACCTAGAGGCTACATCTCCAGACAGCTTGTATTTCTCTTCATACTTCTTCGCCAATGCTTCAACCTGAAATCAGAATAGCTCAACTGCCCAACAACCAAGCGGAAGGTAGAATTGAATTGTGGAACATTGAAATAAAAGGCAAAGTACCTCTCTTTTGTCAGCAGAGGCTCTTTCAGTAATCTCATTAAGTCGATTGTCACATCTGCTTTTATATAAAATCTATTGCCGAGTGGCAACAAGTGGAAATGAAAAGGGCAACAAATTAATAGTCTGAAGATGCAACATCAAAGACAGAAAAACATATGCATTTTAACAAGAATTAAGTTAAAGATAATTCCCACCTAAGGCATTCTTGTGTCTTTAGAAAACTGTTTAATCCCAAAGAGGTCAACTGTAGTTGAACGATGAAGACCTTGTAATAATCATAAAGATAAAAGGAGCATACTTACGAGTTCCTGCATCTTAGCCCGGAAGAATTCAGTCTTTGCTCTTGAATCTTGTATCTCCTTTTCCAGCTCTTCAACCTTCAAAAAGAAAAATGAGGCTTACTCAAATTTCTAGAATAGATAATATCAGGCATTTCAGAGACAATACAGCCTAAAAAGAAAAGAAAACTGTAACAGTTTATATATTATATCACATTTCACA